CCCCAAAACCCCAAAACCCCAAAACCCCAAAACCCCTGAAGGACGAGTATAATTGTAACTATATAATTTGTCCAAGATGGATCCAGAACTTTCTGCAATTGTAAGTAACAAAATACACAGCACACAAACCTAGACATCAATATCCTTATGCTATAAACCTATAGATTATGACGATACTGATCTACACTGCGCTTTCTGCAACTCTGATAATCTGTAAGGCCACTAAAATCTTAAAATGGGAGCAATTCACCGACCTCACCAGTCATGAAAGACTGCTATAATCATCATATAGGATATGCTGGAGTTCTGTACTTCTGGAAGAGTAAGTATTCAACCTCTCAGAGTTTCTCCTGACTATTTCTTGTAGAAAAGCTCATCAGAACAAACTCCCAGATTGAAAGAGACATCTTGGACGATTCTTTACAAGAAGATTCGCTCTCTGGCAAGATCGAAAAGGTCTATAAACGTGAAAATGAACTCAATGAACCTCTCTTGCCAGAGAATCTCTATTCAAAGAAGGATGGGTTGACCTTATCCAACTTGATTAAAGATCTAACGGTACTGGGATCTGGATCTGTATCTAAGCACCAGAAAGCTCCAGAGGAATCTCAGAGGTATTCCTTCATTAGTGATTGTATTATAGAGTCACATTCTCTTCAGATGGTAAAGGAAAGGCCTCTACTTTCCAAAAAGCTTTCCACAAATATAAGTTGAGTCGGATCAAAGAGGCTAAGAAAGAAAGTAAGCTTAATATCTTCACCAATTTAGATAATTTTTACAAACTTAAAGGCTTTTGGGCTTTTATCAAAGGAATATTTCTTATCAATGATAAAGTCATGAGCAATGCCTGCAGTAATGATGCGTATATCTACCTGCTATACCTAAAATGGTGTGCTATGTCACTATTTTTTCTCTCCCTAATTGGAGTACTACTACTGTGCCCATTTTACTACTTCAGCTCAGACCATGAGAACAAGACTTTTCTAATGAATATTACAATCATCGGAATAACGAAATCAGTGCCAAGAATGTGGATGGTATTTGCCATCTCGATCGCATACTCAATCCTGGGATATGCAATTGTATTCAAATTTGTACTCAATTTCCAAGAGTTCATATACTACAAAGAGGAAAACTCCAAACAAAGTGAGGATTATAAGATATCTAAAAGGACAATCATGATTCTGAACCTCCCAGATTACTGCTCAGTGTATGAATGCAACAGAACTCTTCACTCGTTCTTCAAGAACAGGCCGGATTACATGTCTGTGTCCACTCTTGGGTGATATCATCCTTTGTACCAGATATTACGGGATAGGATCAAGATTGTCTCCAAATTGATCAACGCAAAGAGCAACCCCAAGACAAAGCAATGTATAGAGTTTTCTAACCCTATAGCCAAGATTGAGAAACTTGAGAACCAACGGAATCAGAAGAGTAAGCTTGTACTTCTAAATAATAGACTATGAAGCAGAAAGAGCTCTGAAAGTAACTATTTTGCTTGACTTTAGAATGGGATCAGCCATAACGAAGGAATCGCCTTTGTCCAATTCTCTACAGCTAAAGCTGCAAATGACTTCATTAATAACTTCTTTTCCTTAAAGAGGAAATATAGCTATATTCAGAAATATGAGAAGGACCAATTCTCAGATATTGATTATGACGCATTAAAGACACTTCCAGAAGATTTTGACGTGTGTCAGTGGGAAGTAAGGATAGCTCCTCCCTCGAATGATATCATATGGGAAAACCTCTCTAATAGGAACAAAGGAATCAAAACTCTTTACAGATTTTTCACATGGTTCTTCCTCATTATAATCTCAGTTGTGTTAACTTTGCCACTGACGTTCTTGGACAAGCTAGAGCCATTGATTAACTTCATTAACAGGTATCTGGAGAATGACTATACTACGCAAGAGAACTTCCAGTTATACCTAACTCCATTGTGCTTGTACTTGACGAACTATATTCTGATTCCCACTGTGATTATTTTTCTGCTCGGATACGAGAAGCGATCGAGGAAGTCCCATAATGCCAAGACTAAGTTCAGGAAGAACTTCTTCTTCTTTATTATGAACCAGATCATTGTTCCACTTGCTGGATTCAAGACTATCAAGCAGGTTTATGACCACTTTGCAGAGGTTAGCGTGGCAGAGTGGCCGGAGGAGCTTTCTAATAATGTGTCAACTAGTGGGTCTTTCTTCTTGAGATATATCATCCAGATTTCACTAATTACGAATACTTTTCAACTGTTGTCCCTTCCCAAGCTCTTTTGGGACTTCTACAGCACCCATACTTGGTACTTGAAGAAGATCGAAATAAAAAGGGGTGATAACATAACCGAGGTTATTGAGAGGTCTTTATATAAGACCTTGTCTACGAAGAATAACCTTGGTAAGAGACTCAATTCTGATGAGAATGCTGACAATACTGCTTTTTATTTTGACCTGGCTTATCAGCAAGCCTTCAGCATTAGTATATTTGCAATGGTGTTCTTGTTTAGCATCACTAATCCAATAATTCTTCCTTTCGGGTGTCTGTTTTTCTACTTAAAGTTCTGTATTGATAAATATAACATTGTGTGTATCTACCCTCTGGAGTTCCATTCAAAAGGGTTCCTGAGAAGAACGATGTAAGTAAGCAATGTAATCCTATAGATGAATCTTCATGATAGTTTCAATCGGAATTTTCCAGATTTCATGTATGGGATTGTTCATTTCTCTCTCAGACAAGGCTTTTAATGGAGCTGCTTTCATTCACCTGATTTTGCTATGTGTTGCAAGTTCGTTTATATTCTCAAAGAAGCCATGGAAACCGAGAGAAACAAAAAAGCCTGACATCCAGCTGCCAAACTTGGTCCGCATGCCTACTAGATACCAGTACAATGAGAAGAAGGATGATTATGAATCTGTGAACAATAGTTCATCTGATGGGCTGGGAGATAGCGATGATACTAGATTCTTTGACATCCCAAGAGCCTCTTTCGGTAGCTCTAGTGAGACTAACCCATATAATATCCTCGATATCAATCTCTGTGGATCAGGACCTATTGAAGAGTCAAAAGAGAGAGGATTTATGATTTAAACCTATTGAGTAATACGAAGATTTCAATAATTTATTCATACCTGGGGTTTTGGGGTTTTGGGGTTTTGGGGTTTTGGGG